TGTAAAACTTGAATTCACTTCTAGCAGTCGGTAGGTTTCAAAATCATTCGGCGATTTAGAAACTTTTTTTAAAACCGAAGAAACCCTTCCTTTAAGAATAGAATTTAAAAAAGGCGCAATTTGCTATCAAATAAGTACGAGAGAATAAAAATTAAGGAGGGCGTAATTTGCTATCAAATAACTACAAGAGAGGATTTCTTCGTGTAAGGAGGCGCAATTTGTTATCAGATAAGTACGAGAAAGGACTTTTTCGTGTACTTTCCATAAAATATATTTGAATTTATAAAGGCAGTCAAAATCAATGATAAAATGCAAACTCATTATGTAGCCAGTTTTTACACAATCAACTTTTTCGCAAAGATCAAAAAGCGCTCTGTCACAGAGTCGGCATCCTAGCGTGACTGAAAATAATTGAAATTGGACTGCCTGATAAACAGTATTGCAACTCTACTCAATGCTGTTTTGCGAGTGATAACCGGTCTTTTTCAAATTGCAGAATGTTGCTTTACCTATATTTCCCTTAATAGACCTGGCATGACCTGACTTTATGCAGCGAGAGGACGCAGCTGATGAGCACTCGCAAAATTTATGGTTCCAATAAGTTCTGCTGTATACGCAATCTTCAAATGACAACACTCTCAAATTTCGAAAGCCAGCTTACGAGGAAGAGGTTTTATCGCGGCAAGAAGCGGCTCACGACCGTGATCCGGTAAACGTTTCATCACACGGCGGGCCTTGCTGTTGAGTCTGCCAGCACCAGGTGTGCGCCTGCGCTATATCCGCTTCCGGGCTGAGAATGCGCTGACTAAAACTGACGTCGGGAAGCCGATTGACCGTGAGACGCGGCGTAAACAATCAACTGGCTGCAGTCACCGCTTCAATTAGGCCCTCCTCCCCTACACCTCACGAAACCCCGTACACCCAAACAGGTCTGTATATTACTTTAAACCCATCAGCCATGTAAACCTATTCAAATTATAATGATTTGGAGTGTTCTAACTCTCCCCCCTCACCCCCCCGACGGTCTCTATGGCCTTGCTTAGCGTCTTAATTGTAGTTTTTTTTGAAAAGAAGCAACAATTCGTAGTAATCTCAGTGTGCACGTTTATCTTCGTCAGTCTTTTTTCTTTCTCTGTCGAAAATGTAGGTAAAATAAATGATGTTATCGAGATGCCAAGCCTTTGTTACTCTCATGAGGACGTAAATCAATCTGTTCACTTCTTAGTCCTTAATTCTAATCCAGAGCAGCGCACTACGGAGGATGAGACTTTTAAGAGGGCGGAATCTTGCAGACTGGCAGTTTTGTTAAAACTGAATGTTGATAGAGCCCTTGTTACGTCCTCAAATATCCTCAGTAGTCAAGAATTTGCAAGCAAATGTAATTTTTTTGCTTACAAAGGATAAATGCATTTCGCAGGAGAAAAAGCAAACGACTAGTTAGAATCCGCTCAGGCCCTCCGATGCCGCTCTGTGGTTTAGTACACGTGGCCCTGGAATTAAGTGGCATTCTTCTAGCAGTTTTTGCATGCCAAGCTGAGCCTAACTCATGCATTCCTCGCTTACTGCGCACGGTCGGACTCAGTTTGGTTCATTATCAAGGCGTCTGTTCGCAGGCAGCTGCTCGTTAAGGCTTTCCCATGTGGGCAAAGCGACCACTGCCAAAGCTGTTTGTGCTTTATTGACAAAAAAACGCATTCTTATTCATCCATTCGTAAAACATATTCAGTTGCGAATTACCTTACCATTAAATAGATCTTGGTATCTTCAGGTAGACTGTTGTCAAGGAAAATTTGTGAACAGTAATTTCACTCTCAAAACAGCTGTCCTAACAGCATCGTCATGCAAATTACCCCATGTCAACTAGCCTATGATCTACCTGCAATGCAGCTATATCAAAATTAATCCTTTCTCTAGAGGAGTCCAGAAGTGAGCGCAGTACCTTCAATATTTCAGACAGAAAACCGGCTTACGTTAACTGGGATTTGTGTGAAGAGGTCACTGAGGTAAGTAGTAACACAAGCTCTCACCGCGGAGATTTGCTCATAATAAACGGTCATTAGTGGCGATGTTTTACTGATAAAAAGTTAGGTAAAAGTTCAATTTATGGTCCCAAACAACACGTAAAACACCCATCCTTCTCTAATAAAGGACAGGTGGTAATAAGTGTTAAATGTGTAAGGGGAAAATAAAAGGAATAATTATTTCAATAAACAAATAACCGGAAATTTGCGCGCGACAACTAAAATGACCAAATAGTACCCAAGTGGACACAATCGTCGACTCTATATCAACTCCATATCATCCCTATAGGTTTGATCTAGAGATTATATACAGTTTATATGGACATAGCTTCTAAAACACGGTCATCGACTATATCATCTCTATATTCTCTCCATACCATCTCTATGTGAAGTTGCTATTGGGCACTATTAAGCTATTTAAATTATCGCGCAAAAATAATCGGGTATTTAAATAAGCTGATTGGGACCTTGAATTACACTGTCGCCGAAAGTTAGAAGGCCCTATTTAAGTCTGGGAACATAAATGGAGTTGAAATCTTGGATTTGCGTCTCCTGTCGGCTTTTAGAACAGAAGTAAACGCAAACGGCCTTTACGGCCAGCCAGCCTTCCTTCGGCAGACTCTGGATATGATAGCAGTACAATTTCACACTAAAATTAAAGGCAAGAAACGGGAATAGATAACTCCCCCCCACCTCGCTTGCGGTGTGTATTTGCGTGTCCTAAACTTGACCTGAAGCCCTAATCCTAACACTAACCGATCGGATTGCAGGATTTGCTTACCCCCGCTGCAAGTTCTGGCTAGAATGGCCATTTCTGTCCTACTAGCCATTGTCAACCAACCTTGCCCACATTTATAAACTGGATGCGTCCTTCCTATTTTATAACAAAACCCTTCGCTATTATTACTGTGTTTTTAGGTGAAGCCATTTGCGCGTGTCTACCCTCGGAAAACAGCTGGACTGCCTGTTACACTAACATTCAACGTCGACGATGGCTCCGCGTTTTACGCCTTTCTGACGGACGAGACCACCGAGCTGGCATTCCAGGAAGGCAAGAGTATTGCCGAAATATTCCTGCCTCTGGAAACTCATTATCCGTCTGGGTACTCCATCGATCTGACTCCAAGCACCATGAAGTTTCGTGTCTCCGCTGAGGACAATCATGTTCTTCAGCTTTATGTGGCCGAGGGCGCACCGAAGAATAATCAGTTGGTGGAGGTGAACATCAAAGCCAGTCACCAGTAGTTTGGACTGGACTGGATGTCCTCTCGCTTCGTGATTGACTGATCATATCTAGTGCCTGTCAAGCAGCCTTTAGACGCCGATGGCTTGATTCTGTCGAGCATTATTAAAACCGGTTACAAAACAGTTTCTTTTGTCATACATGAAAATACGTCTTAGTAATAAAGCAAAAAAATTATTCAACGTTGCTTTCATCGCCAATGACTCATTTTCAACCATGAATCAACCCTATCAATGCTTTGCATTGAATAGAAAATAAGTATTCTGTGGGACTGAAAGTAGTCCGGGATGACCTTGATGTTCATGTTTACGTATCAAATATTTGCCAACGTGACCTCAGTCGTCTCCAAATCCAAGTTTATTAGGAAGGGTGTCTGTTTTAGTGCATTTGACAGTCACAAAATCCCGACGGCACTCATTAGCCCTGATGGCAAACCCGAAAAACTAGTAAATGTTTGCAGATAATATTGTCAGCAAAGACAAGGGCGACTGGAATGAGCCATTTCTGGCTCATTAGTCGCCGTCAGGCAGTCATATCCAGACTGAAGCGGTGTTCAATCATCAATGAGCGTCAATTGTCCCTGATTTAAACCGGCGAGACTACGAGTTCGTGACTCACTGGTTAGGGCGTTTGACTCTGATCAAAAAGGTCGCGAGTTTGAGACTTGGGTGGGACACCACTTGAGGCTGGGTATGACTGGCTGATGGCGGCTAATGAGCCAGAAATGGCCGTTCTAGTCTCCCTAGTCTTTGCCGGCAATACTATCTGCCTACTTCCAGCTGTGACGGCTGTTAGGGCCTCTGTCGAGACCCAAGGCAAAGCGGGACAGATGAGTCCTCTTAGTGGTCAGATGGACGTTCATCAATGAGTAGTATATAGTTATTGCCTAACGCTGCCATATCCTCACCTTCTGTTGTGATTGCTCCATCTTGCATGAACCTTGGATTAGCACCAGTTGACCTAAACAAAAATTCGTCCTTTAATAAGAAGGGAGGGCAGGATTTCGGCGATTCGAACAAACGAAAGCAATGAATTTTGCCTGTTAGTCGTCTGGTGAACTCTCGATTTAGTGCTCAGGTAATGTTGTTTGGGCAGTCAGTCTAGTCTATCAGAATTTGTAGATTGCATAATTTGTATTACCATGGGAGGGTAACGCAACTTCAATTTGATTAAACTCATGGCCCCCGTTGAACCTCGTAGCTCAGGTGGCTGGAGCGTTGACTGTATTAAAGTCTTTTCCTTGCTGTCGTGGGTTCGAACCCCATCGATGTCGCAGAGTTTTTCACAACCAGGCCAACGGAAAGTTATTAACTTCGATTCTCTAAAAATTCCTATGTTTAACTTGAAAAGTTTATTTGACA